TTCACTAATTATTTTGTATATAATCGATACCTCGGGTAAATCGTCTGTAGAAGTCGAGAAGTGTACCATTTGTGCTGTAGATCCAACTCTTTATATTCTTGTAGTGTGCTCTTTCAACTCGCGAAGTGACCTTATGTCCAAAATATTGGTATTGGTCGATGCTGAATGATGCCCAATGATGGCGAAGAGGAAACTTATTCTTGTTGAGGCATGCGATAGTGTTGGAGTCCTGTTTGAAAAGATAAATGTATCAACATAAATGTTGATTCAATGTTAGTAGCGAAAATATATGATTTCACACCGCAATCGTAGGTAGCTGCTGCCAAAGCTCCATAAAAGTTTTTTCTGTAGGCGCATGGACAATAGCCTTCCAGTGTGACATGAAGGCTGTTCAGCTCTCTTCGCCGGCATCCAAAAGATTTTGTCTGCATCGGGTGATAATGTTGTTCACGATGTGAAATCTGCATATAATTATCAATTCGTGAGTCCACCTCCCCGCGATTGCGTTGATGAGTCCAAGGTCGCAATCATCACCAAAAATTAAGGATGTCCCGGGATAATCCTGTCGATCTCATTCATCATCCATTCATAATCCACAAATGCTTTACCGCATGCACGTGCAGCGATTGCTGAGAGTGTGCAAGGGCAGTGCCCTGAGCCATCATCTCGCAACTGAAGACTGCCGCCTTTTAAAAAGCGGAGTGTCCTACTTAGGGAGAGGCTAAATACACCGGCATTATTGCTAAATACACCGCGCGCATATCCATTAGACTTAATCTTTATATGACAACCGTGGTGACGCAGTCAAGCCGCTTCAATTCGAATATTACAGGATAAGAGAAGTAGAAATGCACCTGTAACATGGTTAGGCCACGAAGATTTAAAAAGAAATATAATTCGGTAATAAATACGCACCGCGTCTACACATTGGATGACATGTCCTAGGTTGAGGATAAAGGACCTCTGCAATGGCGTAGGAGGATGCTGACGACGTGGAAATGGTACATGGGACATTGACGTAGAAGGTACGGACTGGAAAGGCTGAACTGAATGCAGCTGTGTGCCGTGTTGAGGTCCACGCAACACTACAGGTTCGTTACAGAGTGTGAGATGTGACGGCATCTGGGATGTGCTCATGGTAATTAACGCATCGTCTGCTTGTATTAGCGCAATCATAGCACGAGACGGATACCGGCTATGGTCGTGACCAGGTCTGTGGCAGTGACTGCATTTTCTGCTACCACAATGCCGCTCAGTAATCTCAAACCCCGACGATTTACGCTCTGTACAGTTTCTGGTGTGCCCGCTTTCGTGACGTCGTTTTCAGGATGCGGAAGGGAGCAGGATACCAGAAACACCTGCATCGGGGCTGTTGTCGTCGTCGAGATTATCCAGACGCCATTGATCTGAAAATTTGCTAATTTCGATGGGCCTTTTTTCGCCGATGTGTTTTCCGCAGATAATGTGCGCGTATGGGATGACATGAACCCTCACATAGTGTCCGGTACATTCCTTGAGGTTTTCGCGATTGAGCGATAGCAGGTACTGTTTCGCGAGCAGCATCAACGCGTGACGAGAGATCCTGTGATGCAGCTTCAAAAATATCTCGCCAGGTAAGTTTGTGAGTATCTCGACTCTCTCTTTTGCTATCGTTTCACTAATTATTTTGTATATAATCGATACCTCGGGTAAATCGTCTGTAGAAGTCGAGAAGTGTACCATTTGTGCTGTAGATCCAACTCTTTATATTCTTGTAGTGTGCTCTTTCAACTCGCGAAGTGACCTTATGTCCAAAATATTGGTATTGGTCGATGCTGAATGATGCCCAATGATGGCGAAGAGGAAACTTATTCTTGTTGAGGCATGCGATAGTGTTGGAGTCCTGTTTGAAAAGATAAATGTATCAACATAAATGTTGATTCAATGTTAGTAGCGAAAATATATGATTTCACACCGCAATCGTAGGTAGCTGCTGCCAAAGCTCCATAAAAGTTTTTTCTGTAGGCGCATGGACAATAGCCTTCCAGTGTGACATGAAGGCTGTTCAGCTCTCTTCGCCGGCATCCAAAAGATTTTGTCTGCATCGGGTGATAATGTTGTTCACGATGTGAAATCTGCATATAATTATCAATTCGTGAGTCCACCTCCCCGCGATTGCGTTGATGAGTCCAAGGTCGCAATCATCACCAAAAAATTAAGGATGTCCCGGGATAATCCTGTCGATCTCATTCATCATCCATTCATAATCCACAAATGCTTTACCGTACATAAATTCAATGCAGCAGTAAAAGTTTGGTTAGTATTAGCAAATCCAATAGCATGAAGGAGCGGAAGGCTGTAGGCATTTGTCTTTATGTGCAGTCAATCATAAAAATTTGTGATGACGATATGTCAATCCCTTGGTCACATCGGGCTGCCAAAACAGGTGTCGAACGTGGTTGTCTTCGTCCACTGCAACCGTGGATATTTAATTTTTGGTCCTTCAGGTGCTGCAGCAGAGCTTCCGTGTGTGATTTTCCGTCGAGTGACTTTCTGTTTGTATTCTGAACGATGTTGAGGGCATCCTTTGCATCTAGAAGGACACTCTGCTCCTTAAACTTTTTAACAGTAACCTATATAAATCACAATGAGACAAACTATCAGATAATGACTTGCTGTATATGACTTCAACACGCACGCATACCCGAGGAGCATCTCCATCTTGATACATCGGAACGACCTTGGAATTAATGTCTTCAGTTTCTCTTGTCGCACGTCGCGCGGCTGGTAGCGCTGAGCATAGTCTTGCTGATACAACGGGAGTGACCTGTGTGGCAGTTGTTTAAACAAAGCGTTGACCATGCACTTTCTTCTGGGGCGTGCTGGTCATACATGATCACGAGCTCATATAAACAGCCAACCTTTTTTGTCCCGAGATCTCGCATTGACGCGCGCCGACTGTGGGATCTCCTATAATGTTTTCCCTGCAAACATGCGAGAAAACTGCGCTTGCGACTATCCGAACGGCTGCGGGGTACACTAATAGCAAAACCTTGGCGTACGGCGTACTGCTTCAAAGCTTCTACAGCCGTCTTTTGACTGTCAAAAGACCCGACCGGTGGAGATTCTTCACAGATCCATGGGAGATCAGCGGCGGCAGGATTTGGGCCAGCATCGACTTGGAACGTAACCTGATTGTCAGCGACGACATAATTAGTATTAACCTTAACGACCATAGCAGTGGCAGCAGCGGTAGTGGAGGCGGATGACGTGCCCATCATCATGCCTTGGACAACGAATGATTTCTTTTTGGATTATCGTGGCCTAACCATGTTACAGGTGCATTTCTACTTCGCTTATCCTGTAATATTCGAATTAACATGGCCTTTATGTGATACCACGGTTGTCATATAAACATTTAGTCGAATGGATAGGCGCCGGTGTATTTAGCAAGAATGCCCGGTGTATTTAGCCTTTCCCTCCTACTTATGTTGGAAACATTTCTATTGAAGCTCGATAGAAAGTGGATTTTCTTTACCCTTTTTGGTACATATTAAAAAGGGCTAATGAATAGCCTATCCGTAACACAGTTTTTTAGGCGAACACCTATGTGTTTTTACAATTTCCCTCAAACAATGCTGACAAAGGCGGTCGGTGGAGTGTCGTCTGCGTCCTGCGCTAGGCATGTGTGATGTGTAAATAAGACCGGCTCCGCCCGATACGTGTCGTTGTAAATCGTTTTGACCATGTCGGACATTCAGACTAGATTTGCGGAGCCTCTGATCGTCTGGTCCCATTGCTTCATCGCATTTGATACGGGTGGCCTAGTAGACGTTGTGCATGTTAGTTCGATCCACTAGGCAATGACATCGACACATGGACGTTTCGTTTTGGTATAGTTACACTCTTCGTCACTTTGTCTTGCTGGCAACACCGCCTCTGATCCAGCACAGGCTTATGCACCCGTTGCGTTGCGCGTGTTAGGTACGTTTGTCTACGTTCTTGGTCGCAGGATGTGACCACACGCACACCCGCAGCCGTGTATTCCTCGAAAGAGCCTGCGCGATGTTCAGACCGGGGCGGCTCTACGCAGGCTTTTTGTACCGTCTTCGGGCATACATAGCGCGTGCTTCTCGGATGATGACCTTTGCGCTCTCTTTTTTGGGTTCCAGTGGGGGTCAGGAAGTCGATGTTGTCAGAAAAATCGAGTCGTGATTGACGGATCAGCGGGCAGGTGCTTGTGCAAGACACGGATGGAACCCATTAACTCCGAGCGACGTATGTAGACAGAGCCGCTCAAGCCAGCGCTTTTTGCTGTGCAACAATATCGCCGGCTTCTTTGCGACAGTAGCCGCCACGGCTTATCTGATCTGCGCCTAGCCACCACAAGAGCACAATTGGATTATGTGGATCACTGGTTGGCCCTTGTTCATTTTTTGATGCACAAACACAATGCCAACAAGTGCTTATTAGTTAGCCCTCTTTCTCGGTCCTTGCAGTCGATTTTGCTGTGTACTTCCACTGTCTTTTTGACGAAGTTTTTTTCGTTGCAAGCCCCTGTCCGATTTCTGAACCGAAGCGTATACATCATTACGCAGGCCATACTTGACACCATCAGCTCAAACATTGACAGTGTCGCGTTAGTAGAAATGACAGCCATCACTTTCTATCGCGGCAGATGGCTTTGCTGTGTGACCCTGATTCGAAGTAATTATTGTACACAGATCGGACCACAGCTACCGCGCGTACACTACCCATAGACCAACGGCACACAGGTGGCATGAACGCTGCAGTGACATAAGATCAGTAAAATAGAGCTGGTACATCGCGAAGCCAGACCCGCTCTTACTTATTGAATATTCGATAGCAATTGTTGAGACCAGAGTAAATACGGAACAGATTACTAACTTCGAAAAGATTTGTCCTAAGCTTGATTTAGAATGTTCACATCAAGCAATCAACGAAAGCGCTCGGTACCCGTCTCTCATTTCGCAAAGTGCTTATCGGTCATCAAGCGTATCATGCCTTTGCTCAGAATTGTGATCACAGCTTCGTTGATCGTTGCGGCGATTGTTGCTGCATCAATATCCATTGCCGATGATCAGACATTCGTTACTGCTCGCAACAGATCCTCTGCATCTCCTCGCAGGGTGAAGGGCCCTTCCGTCACGCCAAGACTTGTCAAACTTCAAGACTATGATGGGATCTGGACTCAACATGAAGGCCAGAACGATGAGGACAGGGCGTTTTCATGGTCGGCTGTATTTGAAGCAGTCCTCAAGTGGATTAGGAGCTTCTGGGATGGAACCAAGACGAAAACACTCATCATTAATGTTGGCAGGCGCATGGAAAAGGAGGAGGTCATCGAGGGTCAGGACATTATCGACATGGAAACGTTTGTCGAGCTGCTGCGTGACGAGTTCCGAATCCCGAACCGCCATTGGAAGTATGATGACGTCGTCAAATGCTTGACCGAAGGAAGCGTGTTGGACAACTATAACATCCCTCGCGTATCGCATGAAGACCTAATGGAGGCTTTTCATCTGCTCCGCGAACAACCTAGAATGCAGGTTCACGCCGACCGCATGCAGAGCATTTTAGCGAACTGGTATCCAAGTCTGCTCTGGACAAAACTGCGCACTTTGTGGCTTTCGTCCAAGGTGACCCCAGAGGAACTTTATCGGATTTTGCCGACTGGCAAGCGCGTGAACTTTCGGTCCATTCGCGAACAGTACGGCTTGAATGCTGCAGCGGATTCATATAAACATATGCTGGCTCCGATGTTCATGTACATCGACCTTTACCGCGCGAAATACGGCTACAGCAAGGAAGCGGAGAAGAAGTTGATGAAGTTCTATATCGAGCAGGCTGAATATCTTCGTCCCACGTTCAAAGAAGGAAAGATCTGGAGCGACCGAGACACGGAACTAGCGAATGATGGAGCGTAGCAGAAGCCAAAGATTGGCTCGCAGGACACAGTGCGGAAGTGCTGCGCACCGTGACGTAACCTGCAATACGTGGGAGGGTAAGTAAGTAGAAGCAGTAACACACAGCCCTCAGCTGAAGCTTCGTTTTAGTGCTGTTTCATCGATACTGAGTACGAACGACTTTTCAGTCAATATACATCTGGAACAAGCGATTCGTTAGATTGATTACATATATCGTATGCCAACGTGAGACCTAATTGCACATTGCTATACTTTTGCTGCGCAGGTGTTGGAGGGTCAAGACAAGCAAGTACAACAGTGACGCACGTAAACTCATAATGAATCTTAACTACCAACATCGAGAATGGCATGGCAGTCAGAATTTGCTCACTTCAATCAATGGGTTGAGCCCGTTTATATGACATTGACGATAGGAGATGTCAAAAAGGAACGTATACTTGCGAGCAATTATTCTGGTATTATACTTTGAAAAGTTATAATTAGCGATTGCTGTAAACTGGCCGATGCAGGTTAATGTATTTACAAATAAGCGTCCAGTAAACGCTGGCTCGCGCAATGGATAGTTAGTAGATAGCTATTAAGCGTGCTTGTGATTTCAAATAGCATACAAAAGGTGATGATAGATTCATTGATAACCTATGTTCTATCATATACACTTCATGTCTTCTATATACCTAGGTTGCCACGAGTTGCATGATCTTTTTGCACTTTTGTGTACATGAATGTTCGAGGAATTTGTCCATACTACGGATTTGGGTAAAGTATACTCAATGCGGCTTAGGTGAGCTCAAACTGTATGCTGTATACCGACTTCGATTTATAGGGGTGAACCTTTCACATTAACTACCATTATAAGGTTTGCTAATAATGAATATTACAATAAATATTCCTCTTTGAATATCACAACACAACGTAATATTCTTTCGGTGACCAATAGGTGTAAAAGCATTGGTTGATATCTTAAATAGTATAACACATTAATCGTTGCTTGACGTGCGCGATAAGTGGTGAGTAGACGTCACAACACATGTTTGTATACTAATGTACTCAAGTTAGGACTAATTGACAGATTCAGACATCAATGACCTTAGGTTTAGTACACTTTCAAATTTTACTGCTACTCAGTAGCAACGCCTTAGTAGCAACGCCTTAGAAGTTCAGCCTCGCTTTGTAGTGCACTTGGGGCGAAAGGGCACAAACAACCAATCTTGTTAGTAGGATTTAATCCGTACTTTTTATTATCGAGTGACTCTTATTACCTATTACAAATCGCTCTATTACATCTGGTAGCATTCTTCTTTCGTATTACGATCCCAATCGCAATTTGCCATCCAACTCGGTGTAAGGGTTGCATTCACGCCACTCATAATAGGATTTGCCTGTTGTATATACATTGTATAAGCTACAAAAAATGATAAATCTAGGTGACTGATTGTGGTCCAACCATGATCGCCATATTGTTATCTCTACAGGAAGACGAGTACCATGTTGCAATGGCCACTTTCAGGCATATTAAATCGGAACGCCTACAACATTCAGTGCTTTTCTTCCAATACAGCGAGGTGCCTAAACTTAGTGGTACTACAGGAAACTGAGTGTTTGACTGCGGAATTTTTTTAAATATAATGTATTAAGGATATATATTCAAATGATTGCCAGACGCGTTTTAGCCTGCCTCCGCGGGCCTCCTCTGTGTATCATCGAAAGCAAGTGAGCACTATCTGTTCAGCTGCCTCAACCCTAGCCACACATTAACATTTGATTTAGTATTCTAGAAAAACCTCAAATGCGGTCTTTATCAGCACAACTTAGTATACTTCACCGCCGGACACTCAGCACCTAGCTACATTCGATATAATACCTTCCAACGTTTACATTAGGAACTGCTTAGCGATCTGCGATAAATCGATGCTGTTGTCGGGCCGACGTAATAGCATCGATCTGAAAGCACATTGGGTTCATTTATTGCACGACAATGTTGGTAAAGAGATACTCTCTTTATACTATGTCTTCAAGTTCGACGTCGCCATCAAATCATGTCGCGTTTGAGCCGATGCGTGATGGTGGAGTTCGACATGTACATGTTGAGACATAAAGATCTAGCTTCACGAGGTAAACATTTGGGTTGTATGATAATCCAAAGCGCGGTCGAGATACTCTTTTAAGCCGTCGCGTACCAATATCGCTCGGTGTAAGGGGATTGCACGTCGGTTGGCATCTGACCAGTAATAAACTCCCATTAAAATGATTTTACAACACCTTATCGTTGTTAGAGACTATCTTGTGTCAGTCACCAAATTACGAGATCTTGTAAGAGGTATTTTGGATAACACTAGTGTCTCGATAAATTACTTTTCGCATAAGGTGTTCTTTTGCATTGAACAATTCAATTTTAGTTTCCCTTTTGATATGTTCAAGACACGCGCCCCCCCTGAAGCTTTTTGATATCGTTAAATGTCTCGCAAACGTCTTTTCAAGAAATCTACCCTTGAGCACCCTATGCTGTGATTCTTTAAATCGTTTAGTCCTCTGAAAAAAGGGACCGTAAACTATTTGAGCTTGTCGACTATCTGAGCTGAGTTCTTTAAATTAAGTTGCTCGTAGAGCGTTAAAATCTTCCTTTTTTTAAAGGCGCTGTACAGGTCCGCTACACTCGAGATAAGCTAATGGATCTGTCTCTGCGAAACGTGAATAATACGCTCCAATAATATTCATGTGTAAATTAGTGATGAGCACACGAAACAAATTTTCTTATTGGATATAATCGATGACCATGTCATGCTGACCTGTTCTGTGGCAAAGTCATTAATTAAATTTTATGATATGGATCGGTGGCCATCTAATTGAGGCGCCACGTACTGGTGAAAAATGGCACCAAGTGATCTGGCGATCCGATGAGAGGCGGAAGGTGATCCCACGGAGATCGACGGACCGGTCCAACGGTCGGCCAAAGGATGGACGTGGAACGGTCTGAGACGAGGCGCAGAAAGGGGTGATTTTCTTGGAACAATCTGGGACGAGTCGCAGACATCGATGATTTCCACGGTGCAATCTGGGACGAGGGACTAGATTGAACCAGAAGACCGATCTGAACTGAGAAAGGTACTTCTGAGACCAAGCGATGCGACGTAACTCTGTGACAAAGTTGCAGCATCCAGGTGATCGAAGATACACATCACCGATCTCCAATGGGAGTACTGATTTAGGTTAATTATGGACCGATCTGGAAGTGCGGATGTTTGTGGGAGTCCGTGGGACCGTTTTGAGAATTGTGGATGGTCCCATTGTGCGGCTAAACCCTTGAGGATGGTATCGGACCATGTACAACGAACGGAAGAACATATAGGGCCGGATCGCACTGTGTCGATCCTCAACGATCTCGAATTGGGCATCAGATCGGTCATGTTCCCTGCTGATTATGGATATATCGATGATGGAGCTATTGGATTGTGATATACATGCTTTTTGAAGGTCCGCGAGTGATGTCGCAAAAGTTCAGACCGAAAGAGCCAGTGGAAGCCGGTTGAATTGACGTCGCAAAATGGATTTAGACACATTCGGCATTTGGATACTATTTTGGTCTTTTCGGTACCGAAATTGGGTATTAGGTACCGCATTTCGAATTTGCTCCCTTTTTGGTGTCTAGGTACGATATCGGGAGTATTGGCGCTATCTTTGAGCACAGGTCACGAGATTTCGACACGTGTTCAAGGGGGCGGTCAAGCTTAAAGGTGATATCGGTTTGGAGAGTGACCTACAGTTTGGAATATGCTTAAGGATAGGATGGCTATTAATTTGGTTGGATAATAAAACAGTTACCGTTTTTACATATAAAGCACGTCGCAGACTTCTCTTCCGGGCAGGATATTTGGCCTCCCGTCGATCAAGAGACGTTGCACGCGCCGTGTTTCGTGTACTCACCTTGGATTGTTTGGCCAAGGTGGGGTTAAGGTAACTCAACTCAACTCAAACTGCTAGGGTAGCAGCAAACAACGGTAAAGGAAAAGGATTTTGGTTACAAGATCGCGAGGCAGCTCAAGTGGTCAGAAGATCTGGATAAGTAGTTCAAGACAAGACCGAGCAAGACCGAAGCGATCTACAGGGCAGATCGGCACGTTTCATTTTGGCGAAACAAGCAACCGATCCACCCACATTGCGCACTTCCGGCAAGATTGGCCGATCTCGAGACCAGATCGGACCGATCCCAACGCAAGATCGACGCAAGACAATTATTTGCTGAGTGAAGATTTCCGCACAGCGAAGACCCCGATCCCGAAGACAAATCGAGATCGGTGTGATTCAAGATCGAGATCGCGACATCGCCCAAGAGTGACTGCCGCGACTCAAGATCAAGATCGCAGAACCCCGTTCGTGGTGTGAAGATTTCCGCACCGGAAGCGAACGCTCAACCCAACCTCTCAGCGAGATCGACATCTCCCAAGGCCGTTACGAAGAGCTCAAGCCAGCCCAACCGACGGGTACACAAGGTGAGCACAAGGTTATACAGCAAGGCACGGATCGGAGTACCCCCTCCGTGAGTCGGCAAGTCTGGGCAAGTGGAAGATTGACACTCACTAAAGTAATTTTGTGAGATCGACTTCACCACAATGGTGCGCGTGCCCGGATCTTCTGAGGCCTCTGGATTTCACCGTGATTCCACTTACAAAGATGTCAAGATCAAGCAAGAACCTGGAATTGAAGTGTCAGCGACAGAGGGATCGACGCAGACACGTAGAAGCACAAGATCCTCAGGTCATCCGAGTTTTGGGAGGGGCCCTGATGAAATGAAAATGAAAGAGGAAGATCGAGAGATCGATCCGGAAGATAAACCTCAAATACCTCCTAGGGCCCTTTCGGGGGCCACCGCAGATCGCTCTGCAAAGAGCGATCTGCCGGATGAAAATCCAATGGTGAAAACCAAAACGGCGAAAGCCAAACTCAATACCCTCGTCAGCAGGTCACCTGACATTAATACGAGGAAGACGTTGTCCGGATCGGCA